TTGGAGAGATGGCTCAATGGTTAAGAACACTTGTTATTCTTGCAGAGAAGCTGAGTTCAGCTCCCAACACCTACGTCAGGCAGCACACAACCACCCATAACTTCAGATGCAGAGGATGCAACACCCTCTTCTGACCTCAGTGTTCACATGTAGACATATATGTACACACACACACACACAATTTTTGGGTGTTTTTTTTTTCATCTTTACAAAAGACCCTAAACATGATCTTTTTTATTGTTTTTATTTTATTTTTTTTCGAGACAGGGTTTCTCTGTGTAGCTTTATGCCTTTCCTGCGTCTTGCTCTGTAGACCAGGCTGGCCTCGAACTCACAAAGATCCGCCTGCCTTTGCCTCCCAAGTGCTGGGACTAAAGGCATGTGCCACCACCACCTGGCCCTAAACACGATCTTTAGCCAACTTCACTGGGCAGATTCCTATGAAAGACACCAAAGGGCATCCCCATGTATCATCTTTGTATGAACAACACTTTCCAGCTTCCAAATCATTACCTTATCTGAACTACCCTCCCCCACAAAAAAATAAAGAGAATAAAAGTTCATGAGCAAGACAAATGAGATTGTAGCTCCATGAAGACAAGACTCCTCAAGTAATACATGTGAAAAATACTAGTGCTGGGATCAAAACCTCATAAAACAACACTAGCCTGGAAGTTCTTCTCATCACACACTCTTTCCATGTGTCTTACACTGTAGAGCACCATGCAGCATTAACCTCTGAGCAAGTTCAAGGGGCTCATCAAAGATTTAAGGTAGGCATGAAGTGCAGAGACAAGAATCTACTGTCAACAATGATTAGTTTCATCGGGGTTGTGGTGGCACACACCTTTAATCCCAGCACTCAGGAGGCAGAGCCAGGCGGATCTCTGTGAGTTTGAGGCCAGCCTGGTCTACAGAGCAAGATCCAGGACAGGCACCAAAACTACAAAGAGAAACCCTGTCTCAAAAAAAAAAAAAATGCTTAGTTTCTAGAAAAGCCATGGGAGCTCAATAGTGTGGCATTAGTCTACCTCAACTTTACAACATCTTCCCTTGTACATTCATCTTCGAGGCCAGGACATCACTCGAAGCCAACCTTCCCCTGTGTTTACAAGCCAAAGTGAAAGTCCAGCTAGCAAGTACACAATTTGTCAAATGAGACAGGATTCTGCGTCACTTGAGAAACTACAGAAACTTGGAAATACTCAATGGTTCCACATAAAATACTAAGAACAGAAAACAAAATTTAGAATGGACATCAAAATAAGAGACTTGTTTATAAGCAAATTATTTATGGAGCATGCAGCCTTGATTATAATATATGTAAATATATGCAAATGTAGTGACTAAAAGGAACAGCTTAAAGTCCCTCAGTTTCACCATCAGGTCATTGGATTTTCAGTAATAGTCATCTAGACATCTTTGTTAAGCTATGTTATTTTGAAAGAAATCAAACGGAATTGAATTGAGATTCCTTAGACTCATGTCAGCCCAAATACTTACCTCTAGTTCCGAGTTAGATTGACCTGGGTAACACCTCAAAATACCACCTCCCATTTTCCACCTTTGGGTATTTTGATTTAATTGATCTAGAGGTCCTTAAGGTCTAACTGGCATCCCAAATTACTGCTGAACAAGTCTACCAAAACATCATCTTATCCACTGTAAGGACACACTGAGGTTTTGAACCCAGTCGCTGAGTTGAGAGCAACTCTGGGATTCTGGGAATATTGGGCACATTCATGGTCTGGGTAATCCTTGTCGGCAAAGAGTCAACTGATTCATATGCGGCACAGCTTTCAGCAGGCCAGGCACATAAAGAATCTAGTGTGCCTGTATTGCAGACAAGTCCACATTGATGTGAGCTAGCGCACATTAGTATGTTGTGGCTGTCCACTTTCAGTCGGGGCTTGCTTTGGCGTGTGTGTTTGAGGTGGTCTAAAGTACCTGAAGGTGCAGCTTCCAAAGGAAGTTGAGATGGACGCCTGAGTTAAAGCTAAATTTATGTGGCATGGCATTGATAGATGGGAGGCATTCTGTCTTTATTAGAACATCTGTTTAAAATGCTATAATGTGGAAAGTTTGGAACTAAATTCCATTTGGAGATGCAGATCAAATGGCTTCCATTTCCGGAAGTGACAGTGTAAGAAGAGAAGAAAATAATACAGAAAGGCTAGGGAGGAGAGAACGGTGAGACTTCTCTGGTCGACGCTTTGCTCTTGGACAGGAAGACTGTTGAGCCTAAGATTCTGGAAAGACCTTCTCAACGTCTCTTACTTTTGAGGTTTATAAAAGCCACTGGATCTTAAGCAGAAACAGAGGTGGGGGTTCCACATGCCAGCCCCCCACTTCAGGGACACTGCCACCTTCGTGACTAAAAGCGCAGAACAGGCCACGTGAAATAGAAAATGGAGGGAGACGCACCTGCCAGTGAAATGATGTCCCTGGGCCTAGAATCTGTCCTCAGCTAGCTATGACACTCCTCCTGATTAAACCCTTCTCATTCAGAGAATGGTACAGATCCCAGAGGTGCTTAAAGCAACCTATTGACCTTCCTCCTGCTCCACCTTGGATGAGGAACCATGAACAAACCAGACCACAAAGGAAATTTTCAGAGAGTAAATCTGGACTATTTCTCCATGAGGCAGGATTGTTTCCATTAAAAGATGGGCATGAAGGGCTGGGGAGATGGCCCGGTAGGTAAAGTATTCACCACACAAACATGAGAACCTGAGTTCAGTCTCCTGAAATCCACGTAAAAACGCCAGCTGGAAGCACATACTTGCAATCTAACAATACAGGGACAGAGATAGAAGAGTCCCTGGAACCCCGGAGTCAGCCAGCCTATCCTACTCAATGAGCACTGGACCCATGAAAGATCCCATGTCAAAAAACAGGGGGAATGACCTCTGGTCTCCACATCTGTGTGCACACCTGTGCATGTGCACCTGTACATACATGTGCATGTGCACTCTCTCTCTCTCTCTCTCTCTCTCTCTCTCTCTCTCTCTCTCTCTCTCTCTCTCTCTCTCTCTCTCTCTCTCTCTCACACACACACACACACACACACACACACACACACACACACACGAAGATGGGAATGAAGAAAGAGGCCCCTCATTTCAGAGCTTCACACACAGTCCCATCCGAGTACCCTCCCACAAGTCTGCCCCAATGCCAGGCTCAGCGTGACAAGAGCTGCTCCCCAGTACATCCAGTGACATTTCATACAATTGTAAGAGCTGACATAAGGGAGCCCGTCATGGCCCTTAGGATGCTTTTGGGTACATGTCTCTTCTATCAGTGAAACTCGAGAGCACTCTTATTTCCATGCAGAAAACACAGAAGCTGGAGTGCAGAAAGCAGTTCAAGGTAAAGCCAGAACCTAACCTGGGTCAACCAACTTGAAAAGCCCTGGACTCTCGGCATAACAAAGCTAAACAGACATCCAATACCTGGAAAGTAAACCCGCAACTGACACCCAGGTAAGTGTTTCTCTAAGCACAGGTTCCAAACTTTTCCCTTAGCCTGACACCGGCACCTCCTGGTCACCCAGGGAAACATGGAATTTGACTCCAAAAGTAAGCAAGTCCACATGTGGAAGAGGTGATGGAAGAATTGCCCGACAGTGATTGAGAGCCGGATGTTAACAACTTTTAAGCGCATTAGTTGTGTTTTCTTGAATAGTTCTTTTCACCCCTCTATGTCTTAAAACCCTTTCCCGTGAGATAGGAATAATCCTTACAGGATTGTGGAGACTCAATGAAATAACAGGGGAATCTCTCGAGTGTGGAGGATGGTCAGAGCAAGGACTCAGATGTTAGATTTGTTTCATTTTACACACACACACACACACACACACACACACACCCCAAGGGCCACTAGCTGAACTATTGCTATCTTCTTCTCTATTGCTGATCCCATCCTCAGGATCATGTTCCTCTATTGTTTCTTCCAAATCTTAAAAATAAGCCGGAGGGAGAGATGTGGATTGCAACGGGCACCCACGCCACCAGCTGAGTGCGTTTTTCCGATCCGCTTCTAATGTGCTGTGGGAGCCTGAACAAGTCAGTCCTCTGCTATCACTTTTGAAATTTGTTTAATGAGAGGGTCAGAAGAGATGGCGATCGCGAAGACCCTTCATCCTGCCGCTAGCTAGGAAGGATGCCGAAAGCTGAGCGGTTAAAATGGTGCTAAAGCCGCCACCACTGGCTTGAGCGTTCCCCCGAGTCTCCTCAAATGGCTGGCCTGAGTATGTCTGCCACTCTGAGAGAACGCTCTCCCTTAGATGGGCCTCTTGAACCCCGGCCAGGACTCTGGGTCCCAACTGGAAACAGCCCCAAGTGCTCTGATAACAAAAGGAAAAGCACCTAGCACCGGAGAGGATGAGAGACCGGGAAGCGATTGCTTCTCCTGTTCATGTCACCCACTGCAAAGCCTCCAGGCAGCTGGCCTTCCCGCCCAGCCATCCAAGCCCAAAGGTGAAGCCACCCCTCATCCAAAGCCCTCACCCACAGCTGCCCTTCCCACAATTAAATCACAAAAGATGCTAGGTCGTGTTCTCACCAAAACTCAGGCCCTTCGAACACCACCACTCAGTGCCTGAAAACACAGCTCCTGGCCCTCCTCTCCAGCAGCCCAACTCTGCGATCGGCCTGTCTCGCCTGCCAACATTTCCAACTCTGCTCAAGCTGTTTATTGTACCTTGCAGCTGCTATGGAGTCATGTACTTCGCGTCGGCCTTCTTTGGTTATTGGCGCTTTTTCTCCCCCCGCTGACACAAACCCAGACCCCCAAAACGTGAGGTCTGCCTGGGTCCTGAGTCTGTAGAGCCTGGCTCCCGACCTCCCCTCCCTGATTCAAACTGTCCTGTCCGCCGCCGTCTTTAAAACTTTTCCTGACACACCAAGAGAAGTACACTCAGAGCTTTCGTTTTTGAAAAAGAAAATGAAGAGAGAGAGAAATAAAAGAGAGAGAAAGAGAGCCATCACATCACTTACTTCCATCCAGGGACGCCCAGTTTTGAAAAGAAGAAAACGGTTTCTAGTCCAGTGTGGTCCCCCCAACCCCAAAAGAAGAATTCGCTGGGAACCACTTCTTTTCCACTTTGCCGGTGAAGGAGCCCCGTGGTAGGCATACATCCACAGGCTGATGCAAGATGCCTTTGAGAGAAACCTCACATTCTGAGGATTCCTGGGCCTGCGCCAAGGATCCCAGCATCCAATATATTGCACATTTGCTTTCAATTAGGAAGGGGGTTGGGGAGGAAAGAAGGCAAGTCACCAATCAGAGCTGTTTTCTGTTTAGAGACTATTTCTCTTGACCCAGGGGACCACGAGCAAAGCTATAATTTACAGCGAAACCCATTCATAGAAGAAAAATATGTATAACCATAGGACAGACTTAAAGACGCAGCTCCCTTCTGCCTTCTCCCGACTCGTGCCTCCCTGTGCCGCTCCCCTCCGTCTAAGACTGGGTCCCCATCATGGGATACTCCCCCACCTCATTTTTCTTACTTGAGCTGAAGCCGTCAGGTTTGGAGTCGCTTCCGATTCACGTCTCCTGGGCAGCTGAGTCACATGCATGGAGATGATCTTTTGTATTTTGAGAGCTCCGAGCTGAGTCC